GGGGAGCCGAGCCGAGCCTGACTGCACCAGGCCCTGTGAGCCTCCTCGGCTGCCTCTATTCACACTCTGCTTGGTTACGGATTTTAACTGTGCCTAGGACGGAGGCGCAGCGCTGAGAGTGAGCCCACACAGCGCCTCGCCCGGGGGCCCAGTGACAGCACAGGCTCCGGGCAGGCGACAGGCACTCCCGCCAAGGCAGCGAGAGTCGGTGTGGCAGACCGCTGCATCTCCGGCGCACGTCGGCTGTGTAAGGGAAACGTCCCTGACACAAAGCCCTTTTAACACTCGGGACTCCTCGGAGTTCAGGTGCAGAAGCTGAAGCCCTTGGCAGTGCTCCGGTGACAGGTGGTACACGGCGGGGTGGTGTCACTGAGGGGGGCAGGGGACAGGCCCCACCCCCTCCTGCTGCTTCTTGACCCTCCCTGGCCTTGCCAGCCGAGGACCGTGGGAGATACGCTCCTGGGAGTCCATCCTCAGAGGACAGCAGAGGACGGGAGGTAACAGGGCTCTTTCCTGCCCTCCTCGGAGGATGTGGTCAGCAGCTCACGCAGCCCAGCGCCCTCCAAGCCTGCTGAAGGCCGTTGCTGCTTCCAAGGCCCGGCCCAGGGCCCCTGGAAGGAGGAACTCCTTATCACAGGGGAGAGGATGTGACTCAGAGCGGCCGGCTCCCCGTGTGACTTCTTATCCTGCGTCTGGCTGGGTGCAGGGACCGGCGTGGGCGCGGCCCGCCTGCTCTGTGGCCTCCAGGGTCGCCGTGCACACTGCGTGCGAAGGCTGCAGGCCCCGGGAGGCCCCGGGAGGCCCCGGGAGGCAGGGGCCACTCACTCGGGCTTGGGAGGGCCCGGCAGCCCCCGCAGCTGTGATCGGAAACACAAGGAAGGGGCAGGGGGCTGCGTGGGGGGCGCGCTCCCTCCCTGAGCTCCTTCGGCTCTCCCCGCCTCCTCCGGTCACGTGCTCGGGCCCAGCTCCTCATGCCGCCTCGTGTTATCCCCGGAGGAGACACCTCCCTCCCTGAAACAGGGGCTGATGCGTCGCTGCCCGAGGCCTTAGCTCCCCTGGCCCCCAACCCCAGGGCTCGTTTGTGGCTTCTCCTGCTGGACCCACGCTTTGAGGCCGCGCTCCAGGCCCTGACGACTGTTTGCCGTTCCTGAAGCCTGCGGCCCACTGCACCTCCCCCGGCTGCGACTCTGGGCTGCTTCTGAGGTCCGAACAGGGCAGACTCTGAGGCTCCCCAAGCGAATCTTCCTGCTCCAGCCTGCAGGAGCCCGTTCCCCGCACTTCTGCACACACAGTGCTCCCACCGAGAGCACCGGAAGAGGCTGCTGCGTGTGCACGGCGTGGCCTTGGGGTGACCCAGCCCCTCCCGTGGCCGCAGGTCCCCCTCCCTGTCCCACTGCCCACAGGCCCAGCCCTGGCTCTCCCTGGGGTCCCTGAGTCTGGAAGCTCACCCCAGGTTCTTTACCTGCAGCTTGTCTCTGCCGCTGATGTCGGGAGGTGACCGGGTCAGGGTGACGGCAGGATGTGCCGGTGTGGAGTGGGCTGTCCCGCACACCTGCCTTCTCAGCTGGTCCTTCACTGCTGACTCACCACTCCTGGAGCTGTGCACTTGGGCTTCCTCAGAACTGGGGCTCACTGCCTCTCCCCTGCAGCTGCGGTGTTCTGATCCAGAGACACCTGGTGACTCACTGCCAGGTCCCTCCTTAGGGACCAGGTCCCCAGAGCAGGGCACACCACTCTGGAGCCCCCCACCTCATTATCCAAGCTGCAGTTCATGGAGTGACCTGGCTCCTCTTTCCCGCTACTGGGGGCTCCTTGAGATGAGATTCCCCCATCGTGGTTCCAGCTGCATCTCCAGGGTATTCCAACAAAGCCCCTCCTGCACCAAGTAATTCGCAGGAAGCATTAATTAAACGTCTCTGCCGCTCAGGAATCTGGAAGCCAGGTGAGTTTAGGCAACAAAACTAGATGAGCAGCAGCTGTCACTGATGCTGCCTGCTGAGTCCCTGCTGGCACTCATGGGTCGTGTCAGCTAATCTTCACAGACAGACCAGCATCTGGGAATCTGCTGCTCCCCATGTTGTGTGAGGGGCAGGGGGCCACTCGGGGAGACAGGCAGGATGACAGGGCCGGCAAGGCCAGGGGCAAATGCCTACGACACGGTTGCCCACACCAAGCCCACGTCTGTCCCAGACACAGCTGTGGAGCCCAGCGGCCTGGAACGCGGGGGAGGCTGTGTGCACACCCACACCAAGACCTCGGCCACCTGCTTCCAGGAGGCCTCTGTCCAGGGAGTGGACGCCTGCGTGCTCGGAAGGACTGGGCCAGCATTCAGCCTAGAGAGACAGGTGCAAAGCTCCGTGGTGACGTGTGTGGAACACAGCCAGGAGAAGGGGTCGGGAGGAGGCCACACTCAGCCGAAGAGCAAGCGGACAGCGCTAAGACACCGCATCGCCTGGGTCGGCAGGGCTTGTGTTCTGACGGAGAGGGCAGAGGAAAATGAGGCTGGGTACGAGCTCTCAGGACAAGGCTATTGAGAGAGTTGTGTTTTTGCTGGAATAGAAGTAATTAATCTGGCTTCACGATTTCTCAGTGAAGGTCCACTGGAGTAAGTTTCAGTTCTTACCACACACGTTCACACAGGTGCACACACACCACTTGCACCGCATGCACAGGAGTGACCGTGAAGTGAGGGACACGCTCGCCAGCTTGATGGCGGTGGTAACGTGCGGTGTGTGCCTGCGCCCCCGCCTCCTGTGTGCATCTAAACACATGTGGCCTTTGCTGTGAGTCACGCCCCCATGACGTGGAAACAAGGTGCCTGCTTTTGTAAAGAAATCACCTCCTCTCTCTCTGATGTCTGAGCGAAGTCACTCAGCTGTCTTCCTGAGTGTCCCTAAGGAAATCTCTCTATTGTCCTTCCCGGGAATAAGGTATCTCCCAGGACCGATTCATAAATATGTCCAGTTGCACAGCCTGTTTCATATTCAATGTCGTATTTTTTCCAAGCTTAGAGTAAGTGAGGGCAACAGTAGCAACCCCTGCACGGTGTAGATCAGACAAGCGGTCACTCTACCAAAGTCCTGGCACCGAGAGCTGGGCACCTCCCCTTGCTGCAAGCCGCCTGCCTGGCTGAGCCCAGGGCTCCTTCCCGTGTGGCTGAGGGTGGACGAAGACACCAGCCGCTCCCTGTACACAGGCCGAGCAGGGAACTCCCAGGGCAACAGCCCCAACAGCCCGGCCTTCCTCCTCACTCTAACTGCCTGGGTTCCATGACAGAGCTGACATCCAGGCCTTTCCGAGAGCACAGCTTGGAAGCCTGAAGAGCAGGTGCCCGGCCAAGCGCAGGAGAAAGAATCTGCAGCCCTGGGGTTGGCAAACCGGGCACATCTGGCCCTCGGAGCTAAGTCCTCACTCACCTCCTGTGTGAACCGACTCTGCTTTCTCGCTGCTTTAATTTTTATAAAGACGATTGCTATGTACACAGACCTACTCCCCATGATAAGTGTAATCATGACACACTGCAAACATTCTAATAAAGATTTTTAAAATCTGTGAAACAGAGAAGACGTCTAAAGCTGCTTTCAAAGAGGACGGCAATCTGGTGAGAACATGGTGGCGGGCGTAGGTAGGAACGTTGTAGAGACAGCAGGCAGAGGGGGAAGGGAAAGACAGGGGTTCTTTAAATCCGGCCTCAAAGTCAGTCATTTATCCTGTCCTCCCCTGGTTTCAGCGAGAACTTTACATGCTTTTCCAACCAGCCAGTAACATGTATTTAGAGCCTTATTTCTCCAAAGTATTCCAAAGATTTCAGAGATTTCAGGAGTATTACGAACCCTCATGGACAAGTAATCTCAAAGAGTTGTGCCCGTGGCATGGTGACCCTGGGCAGGCTGTGTTCCCTGTGGTGAACGCGGGTGAGCTGTCCCTACGACACTGAGGGAATAATTTCGAGCAGCAGCCAGGAGGATGTAGCATTGCCCTGTGTGTGGCAGAATGAACATTTTGACATGAAAATATGATGGATGAACTTCAGAGCAAGACACTGTCAGCCAGGCGCACAGACTTGACTGGAAACCTCACCAGAGCAGTGGGCAGCAGACGAGAGGGTAGAACCTTTGCATTTTTAAAGCAGAAAAGCACATGGAATTTACCCAGCTGTGCACGTTCTTCAGCACTGCTCTGGACCAAGCTTGAGGGCAGCGATGGAGAGAAACTTTTAGACCTTTCAGTGACAACAAACAGTCCACTGCAGCAGACGTGCCACAGGCTCACCACCACTGCTCTAGGGGCACACGGGGGCTCCTGACCCCTGCCCTTGAAAGACTCGCTATTAGGCAGGAGGCACTCAGGTGCTCAGACTGTGCAGGGAGAGGCCACGTTCAAAGAGAAAATGCAGGCACTGATGACAGCAGAGACTGTGGAGTCAGCAGACCCCAACAAGAAGCCTGCCTGAGATGTTGGCCGGCAGAGAGAGGGGGCGTCCCTCCCTGGGGCGCAGGAGTGGTGACCAGGGCTGGGCTGAGGCAGAGCGAGGTGGCAGGTTACACAGGGGAGGGCAGGGGTGGAGGCTGCAAAGCCCATTGCTGGAGATTCAGCAGAACACAAGCGTAGAAACAGCTCCAGTCTACACCTGCTCTTCCGCCGATGAAGCATTAAAGTGCAGGCTTGAGCACCACAGAAAGAAGGGTGCCTCGCAGCCACGTTCAGGCCTGCATGTCCTCACACTTTCCAGACTCTGACTGCTCATTCTCAGACCGACCCTGAAGCCCGCAGGTAGGAGGCAAGTCCTGCGCCCCAGCCCCAGCAAAGGACAGGAGCAGAATGGTTCCTGTGAAAGCAGGCGAGGGCCGCCGCAGCGTGAGCCAGTGAGGACTAAATTCAGTGAGGACTGAATTCCAGAGAAGCGGTGCCTCCCTCCGACCCACACTCTGGGGCCCGCTGACCCCACACCAGCAGCACCGGCCCACCTCCCAAGGCCACCCAGCCAGAGTCAGACTCACCTGAGCGCCCGCAGGACAGCGTTGCCCATGTTCTCTGCGCCCTCGCTCCTGGCTGCCCTCTGCTCAGGGTCGCTGCATCTGAGCACTGGCTGTGCCCAAGGCCCAGAGCCGCAGGGCCGTGGGTCACGACCGAGGCAGGATGCTCTGAAGGGGAGGGGCAAGGGGGTGTGAGAGAGAGTGTGCACGCATGCGCACGTGTGCGCAGCATGGGAGAAACAAGCTGGGAGAGGAGGGCCCAGCCCACCTCCAGGACGGCAGGGCTGGACAGGCGTGGCCACCGCGTTCCTCGGATTCAGCGAGCCCCACCTTGCCGACACACTGTTCTTTTCCAAACACACAAAGCCTCTTCTCAGGAGAAGATGAAACGAACGGTAATCATTCCTGTGGATCTGGCCATAAAAATCAAAGCACACGTCAGTGACCTCTTCCTGGAAGTCTGAGGCCTCCCGGCAGCAGATGGAAAAGAAAGGAGCAGGTGCACGGAGGTCACCGGAGACACCTGAGGTGGCCCGGCAGCCCGCGCAGCCACGCGTCCACACAGAGGCCTTGGCAGGGAGGAAGGATGCGGAGCCCCAGGCACTGCTCACCATCTGGGCCTCTGCTTCCTCCTGCACGCCCACCGCAGCCACAGGGACAAGCTGTCCAACGCGATAATGTCAAGGCCACGTGTCACTGTGGGGTTAGCTGGCCGCTGATTCAGGCGTGCCTTGCAGGGTGAGAAAGAGCCAGTTAATTCACTGTGCCACAGGTCCCGGTCTCTGCCGGCCTCCAGCCACTGTGCAGTGGGCTTGCTGATATCGGGGCTGGATGCAGATCTACTCCAACTCTCTTCCGCCAGAGCATAACCAGGGCCAGGGGCACTCAGCTGGTAACTGTCAGTGGGACTTTCATTATTCTGTTATTGAGCGTGAATGTGACAGAGTCGGTGGGACACTGGGGTGCCACACAGCTGGCTGCAGGCTCATGGCTGACCTACGTCCCATCTGCAAACCTGGGCACTGCTGCGCGCTAGCTCTCAGCTCCCGCTGAACGCAGGTGCTGATTCTCTCAGTCTGGGCTGGCCTGCTGCAGCTCGTGCCAGGCCAGGTGTGCTGTGCCCGGCCCTGTGCCCGAGACCGGGGTCTGCGCTGTGAGCATGGGCCCATGCCCTCAGCTTAAAACTTTCCAGAAGGGTGGTTGATCTTTCCGCACATCTTTCCATGCCGTTAAAATTTTTTTTAAGGACCACTTTCTTTTTTCCCAGGATATAATGTGGTAAAATTGGGATTTTAAAAACACTGTAATTAATGTGTACAATCCTGTGAGTGTGTGCTACGTCCCACACAGCTCTGGATGTGTCCAGGGGGAATGACGAGGGGATGAAGAAAATAAGACAAGAGATGAAAGCTGGGGTCAGGTGGAGCATTCTGCCCTGATGGGAGAAGAGGAAATGGAACAACCACCACAGGGGCATTTATATATACTTTTGACAGAGTTAGAATCACATGACACAGGGTTGCCTAGCGACGGGTGACTGGCATTGTCTCAGGCAAGTAGCTTGATTGCTTTAGGCACTCCGGCCTGGCCTTGTCCCCACACATGTGACCAATCTCCAGCTCCGGCCCCTCCCTACCAGTGTGAACATACGCAAACATTCTTGCGACTGTCCCCACAATCCACATGACACACACACCAATCCCAACCAACTTCTTGAGCCCTAGAGTCTTTTTGCTTTTGTTTTCTGTGATAAACATTTAAGGTGAGCTCTACCCCCTTAACAAATGGTTAAAAGTATGTAATACGTTATTAACTGCAGACACCGTGCTGTGAAAAGGCAACTTACACAACAGGAGAAAATACTTGCAAGAGTATTTAACCTCAGACAAGGGGTTAATTTCCAAAATACGCAAGAAAAAACCTCACACAATGTAATAGCTTGATAAGTAAATAAATAAATCCCGGTTTTAAAGATGGGCAAAGAACTTGAAAGGATGTTTCTGCAGGAAGTCATACAAATGCCCGCAGGTGCATGAGGAGACCCTCCCTGTCACTAACCACCAGGGAAATCCACGTTGCAGAGGACTGTGCGAAGGGGAACGTGTCAGCCGCAGAAGGATGGACACTGCGTGTGTAACTGGTGGCTTGCTTGTGACCTTGACTGTGACTGCGCCATGTGAACACGCCCAGGGGCCTCCTGTGTGTGATGCTTCTCTCTTCTTCCTATGCAGGGGCAAGTACATCTCCACTGGGAGAGCCCACGCATGAGCCTCGTGCTCTGCCCTTGGGAAGCAGTAAACACAGTGTGACATTGGCCAGGGAAAAGAACCGCAAGTCACAGAGAGGGAGCCCAGCCCCCTGGGGCAGCTCTGCGCCTCCTGTCCCGGTGGAGGAAGGAGACTCAGCCCCAGAGGTGGGAACTGCAGACGCGGTTCACAGCCCCTAACCGCAGTGCACCCATGCAGCGAGAGTCCGAACTGCACGTCTCTTGCCATGCAGATCTAAGGTGGTCCCCAAGACTCCAGTGAGCGGAGGGGCTCACCTCTCTGCGGTGCTGCACCTCAGGGGGTTCTTCCACGGATGAGCTCCTGCTGAATGGGCTGTCAGGAGGCCAGGCCTATTGGAGCTGGTCCCGGGGGCGTGACCTGGAGGTGGGTCCTTGCCCCCGGCTCCTCCTTTCTCCCTTTGCTTCCTACCAACCCTGATGGGAGCCAGTTTTCCCCACCAGGCCATTTCTACCTGGATCAAAGCCATTGAAACTGTGGACCCAAATGAGCCTCTGCCTTGAGCCGCAGGTAGCAGGAGTTCTGTCCCGACCCTGGGATGTTGACTAATGCAGGGTGCATCCAGTGTGCATGGATCCGTAGAATGAACTCACACAGGAAGGTTCCCGAGGGAAAGCGCAGTGCTGGACATGGACACAGACTCCCTCACGGCTCTCTGGAGTCCAGATCAGCATTGTTCCTTGAACCTCAGTTAGTCAAGGAGAACTCAGTCCTGTCAACAAAGCTGTCAAATAATGGGTCACATGTCACACGTTGAGCATTTTACTGCCCCTCCCTTCCACTTCCTCCCCAGATCCCTTCCCAGCTCCACTGAGTCTACCTTGTGGCTTCCTGCTACCTCTCTTTTATTTTCCTCTTGAAATATATATTTTTTTGATTTCTCATATTAAAGAAACCATATGAGATTTAACCTCCTGTTTAAGACATTTCACTCAGCATTATGGTCTCAAGATCCACCCTTTTTCTCACAAACAACTCAAATTTATCCTTCTTTATGACTGAGTAGTACTCCATTCTGCACACATACATGTGCTTTCCTAATGGCTATCTTTTTGTAAATGGAAATTTCAATTCTCAAATTCATTTGAGCTTGAATAATCAAGATAATTTTAAACACCAACTACAGCAACAAATTTTAAAGACTCACACTTCCAAATTTTGAAACACATTCTAAAGCTCATCATATAAAACTGCACCAATTTAAGGGAAGTGGGTATGTAGATAAATCTATACATCTATATTGATTGATTTTTGACAAAGTATCATTGGAGAAAGTGATGACTAGATGTATATCTCCAGGGGATGAACAGTGACTCCCTGCCTCAACCTATATACGAAAATTAATTCAAACAGGTTAAAGACCTAAGTTTATACAAAGCGCTTACAGAAAACCATAGTAGCTGATATTCATTATTTGGGTTAGTCAATGGATTGTTACACATGACAGAAAAAAGAAACCAACAAAAGAAATGAAGTAGGTGAGCTGGAACTCATCGAAATTGAAACCTTGCGGTGTGATGACTTTAACTATTTTGGGACAATGCCTAGAAAGGAAATAGCTGGGTCACGTGGACGAGCTTTTGCAAATGCAGAGGGAAAGAAAGGTTAGAGGGACAAGAGGGGAAGGGGGAGAAAGGAATTGAGATGTATCATGTACACGAACAAACTCCCCATGATGAATGTGGTCAGTGTGTACTGCAAGCATGGGGTAATAAAGACATGGAAACTTTTTGTCCACCAAAAGTGAAGAGATAATATTTATAACAAGTGAAAGAAAATCTCCGTAAATCTCATATCTTATGAGGGTCTAGCGTTCAGAACATATAAAGAATTCTTACATGTCAACAACAAAGAGGCAAAAAAAATTTTTTTAAATGGACAAAAAAATAGAATAGACATTTCATAAAATAGATCAGCAAGTGACCAACAAACAGCAAAAAACACACCACAGTGTTCACTGTTAGGGAGAAGCAGCTTGAAATTACATGAAAACCCACTTCACACCCACTGCAGTGCATGAGAGAAAATTAAACAGGAAACCAACAGTGCTGGTGAAGATGCAGATAAGGTGGACCACACGTGGCCTCCAGGACTGTGAAAGGTGACACTGCAGAGGGCAGTGCGGCAGGCGCTCTCTAACAGGTCACAGGGTGGACCACATCCAGTAGCCCTGCACTGGCGTGCACCAAACCACTGAAAAGAAGCACTCAAGAAGTGGCTGGCAGGTGAGAATTTGGAGTCTCTGGAGGTGAAAAGGTGGGAGCAACACAATACCCTCCCAAAAGTGAATAAACAGAGGCAGGCAGAGTTGTCCAGTGCAAACTCACTCAGCTCTAAAACAGCTACACCATGCCAGAACCTGAAAGATGGTGCACAGAGAGAAGAAAACCAGATACCATGGCCGTGTGAGGTGTGGGAAAGCAGACTGGGCTCCCATAGGCTGAGGCGGGCTGGCTGGTGGACCGACTGCCTGATGCACGGAGGGAGGTTTTACCATCTGGGGTCATGAAAACGTTCTGGAACCAAACGCCAGTGATGGTAACCCAAGAATAACAAGAACGGTCCGAACCCAAGCCTAGTACAAGGAGGGAAACCGTAAACATCAGAACAGAGAATAATGACAATGAAACTAAAAAGGTAATGTAAAAAGTCAATGGATCAAAGATTTCAAGAGAATAAACCAAACAGACAAACCCTTAACTAAAGTTACAAAAGTAAGAACAGACCCACATCACTGCAATTAGAGTGAAAAGGGGGAAACCTCAACAGACACCCTGACATCCAGAAGATCACTGGGAACTACTAGAAAAACTGCACTTCGAAAATTGGAGAATCTAAACAAAATGGACAAATTCCTAGACACACTTGAATGACCAAAATTGAACCCCAAAATAGAAAGATGCAATAATCCAATAACAGGAAATGAAACTGAGGCAGTAATAATAGCTCTACCAACCAAGAAAAGCCCAAGGAAAGGTGAATTCACCACTGAATTCTACAAGATCTTCAGGGAGAATATAACACTAATACTCCTTGCGCTCTTTAATGAAAGTGAAAGAGAAGTACATCCAAAGCCATTCCCGTGAGCTAGCAACACCCTGACTCCAAAACCAGACAAGAACCCAGCTACAAAGAAAACTGCAAGCCAGTGTCATTACTGCACACAGATTTAAAAATCCTCAACAAAATACTAGCAAACAGGATCCATGCAATCATCAAAAAATATTATACATCAAGACCAAGAAGGATTCATCTCAGGGATACAATGATGGAACCACACTCATAATTCAACTAATGTAATATACTGCATAAACTAAAGCAAGGACAAAAATCACAAGTCCATCTCAACAGACGAAAAAAAATCTTTGACAAAATTCAGCATCCATCCATGACAAAAGCCCTGAAGGAAACAGGTGGAAAAGGACCTGTCTCAACCTGATGAAAGCCATTCACAGCAAACCTACACCAACGTATATGGGGAAACTTGAAAGCTTTCCCTCTAAAGTCAGGAACAAGACAGACATCCATTATCCCTGTTTCCATTCAATATAGTCCTCAAAACATCAGCCAGAGCAGTGAGGCAAGAGAAAGAAACGAAAGAGATGTGCAAGGAAAGGAAGAAGTTAGATTATCACAATTTTCAGATGACAAGGTCCTTTACATTGAAGACCCAAAGAATCCCAGCAAATGACTCCTAGAATTAATAACCCAACTCAGCAATGTAGCAGGACACAAAATTAACACTCAAAAGTCAAAACCATTATTGTACACAAATAATGAACTCACAAAGACATAAATTAGGAAAAAATAACCACCACAATGACAGCAGGCAAAATTAAATGTTTAGGATTTAAATGAAACAAAGATGTGAAAGACCTCTACAGTATTCTGAATTAATTTATTTCACTGACTTATACTTGAAAATAGCCACACTGATAAATTTAATGTTATGCATATTTTACTGTAATAAAAACGAATTTATTCTACTAAGAAAAATAGTAGCAGCTGGGCATGGTGGTGCACACCCGTAATCCTAGCACTCTGGAGGCTGAGGCAGGAGGATCATTGTGAGTTTGAGGCCAACCTAGGCTACAAAATGAGCTCAAGGCCAGCCTGAACTGCATAGTGAGACCCTATATCAAAAAGACAAAAAACCAAACAAACAAACAACAACAACAA